TTACAGATGGCCTTTGAAGTAAAGGGCACAGAACCCAGAGGCCTACAAAGGTTGCCCCACATGGAAGGAAGAAGAAGAACAGTCTCACGGCCTTCTCCTCTGGTCCTTCAGCACAGCACAGCAAGCAGATCTAACAATCGCCCTCCTAAGCCACTCTCGTGCAGCTCAGAGGGAGAAAGCATTTCCAGAAGAGTCGCTAAATTCATTGCAATTGCCATTACAACCAGCTGTTCAAATTTTTTAGCCATTTGGGGAATGACAACAAACTTCATTTTTATGACTGCAGCTGTTAATCATTTTGGGTTATCTACCATGGGCTTCCAGTATGTTTCTTTCAGTCCTTGAGGGTAAAATTCATTAAATAAAGAACAAACATTACCAAAGGTGGGAAATGATTTAAATACATTGTGGGCGGGTAATCACTGGTTTATTTTAATGTTGATACTCTACTCCTGATAACAGGTCCATTATGTTTTCCGAGAAACTGCATGAAAGGAAATTACTGTTGCCTTTTTCTAGGACTTTTGGACAAGAATAATACATGAACGTGTCATAGGGCGGCCTATACATTGTATAAACAAGCAAACAGTACTGAAGCAACTTTCTTCAGGATGTCCTTTTGATTTCCCAGTTCAGCCCACAGCCCTGGAATGCCCTCCTGTCCAGTGACTAGCTAGGTTGGACCCAGCTTAGCTTTTTGAGATCAGCCGAGGTTTCCTAGGGCCACCAGCATTCACTCTTTGTCCTGGCCCCACCACTTATTTCACTTGGCCCTGGCAGTCTCAGAACAAAATATGACCCTCACTGCAACAGATGGTGTGTGCTGCTTCTCTAGCATGTTATTCCCCACTCTGGAACCCTCAAGAGATGCCATCATGATGGTATCATCCAGAATTACCTGTTTTCTGCACTTCCTCTTGACTGTCCCCATTCCCATCTCAGCAGCCGCAACTCAACCCTGAACAAGGATGAACAGGAACTCTTGGCAGTGAGACTGTTTTCCACTTGATGCCTTTGACAGAGAAGTCTTTTATTCCAAGTTCTCTATTTTCTACCATGGGAGTTCAAACAGGTTAGGGTGGGAGGAAAGAAATGAATGAAAGGTGTTGCATTTAACACTGTTGGGGATTTTATATATATACACATGGAATCAAATTATTTTTAAAGCAAATTTCCTCTTTCTTACTTCTCTGGGACACACCTGTAAGCCTGAAATAAATATATCCTTGGGAGGAACTAGAGTTACTCTTTGCTGATATTTAACAGAGTGTTATTGTTCATGGATTGAAAGTGAGCTGTAATAATTATTACATCCAAATTTCCCGCTTCAGAATGGCAAAACATTTGCACCAATTGTTTTCAGAATCACCCCACTCCATTTCCCCTAAATTTCAGTTGCAAAGTAAAAGCTGCAGAAAGGGAGAAGAGGAGCCACCATCACTAGCTTCGGGACTGCTAATATATAAAAAGTGGTATTTTTGAAGAAGCTTTTAACAGACACCTTCCACATCCCACCAGTCGAAAGTTCAGAAATACAGGTTATTAAAAATGTCCCATTTGCTGAAATCACAGCAAGTACAAAGAAAGAACTTTTCAGTTTGGTTTAGAGAAAATGGAACTCTTCAGAAGATTTGGGTGCAATTTCTGACATCTGGCAGAGTTCACTCCAGAATGATTGGCTGCGAAAATTACCCTACGTATGCTCAGACGTCTGCTTCTATTATTTTTCACGCAGGCGAAAAATCCGAGTGTTTTGCAGGGAGTGAAGAAGCCTACAAAGTATGTGTTTTCTTAAGTCTATTGCTACTAGATACCAAGAAACAGTCCTTCCAGGGACCAAGATGTTATACAACATATCTGGTGTGATGATGGAAAGTGGATTCAGCAGCAGGTGGATTTTTAATTACGTAAATTCAACCTTCCCCAACCCCCAGGCCTCCAGATATGTTGGAACGGCCACTCCCATTCACTGCCAAACAGCAGGCACATCTGCAAGGAGGGGTCACAAAAAAGACGGCATGACCAAAACCCCGCCCCCTTTTTACATGTGCTACATGAGTGCCCAGTTCTGGCCTGCACCTTGACTTTTTGTACCTCCCCCCCTTATGGCCCCCTCCTTCCAAACCACCTAGCTGGTAGCCTGGAAATCCTAGGACAGTAATGCTCCCTATTTATCTCCAAATCGGGGCAGAGACATTTCTCCACTGCACTGAAGCCCAAAGGGAGAATGAAATAAATCTCAGCAAGCAACCTGCCTGGTATGAAAAAGACAGACCATGAGGTGCTGAAAATAAATCTAGATGTGGGCTAATATTAGTAGTTCCTTGTGCAAATGGAGACGACAGGACTGGCTTATTCTTTTAAGCACGAAGTCAGCAGACGTCCTCTGCAACAATTCGTCCCTCGCTCTGCCCACCTGACCTTGTCTGTTATTCCCTACTGGTGGATGCAGGAGGTCCCTCTGTCTGCAACAATATTTAAGATTTTCCCATTTCTATTATCCTATTGACAAAAATATTCCAGTCAACCGAGCAAATGTTCCCCATAAGGAGTTGGCCTAAGCCATCAAGGAACTAGAACTTGGCAGTTTCAGAAATGGCGGCTCACGCCGGCGATCGCAATGGCCGGCTGGCCTTGGGCGCTGCTCCCGGCTTCCAGGGCTCTGACAGCCTTGTAGGGATGGGCCACAAGATTGGCCGTCTTAAAAACGGTTGGCCTGTTTCCGTGGTAGCTGGCCATCACGCCCGTTAAGAACGCAAGGCGAAGTGTTCTCGTTTTCCTTTGCTTTCTTTTTTTGGGAAGGATTTAGCCGTAGCAAGAACTGTATCGTTCTGTCAGCCAATCTAGGAGCTGTTGGAGCAGAAGGGCTGGGTGCAAGGACTTGAAGGAGGAAAACGCGGAGGCAGTGTACAAACTGAAGACTCTTATAACCCTTTCATTTATTAGAGACAGGCATACTGATTATGTGGAGCCTTGGATACGCTGATGTCCCAGGATGGATCTGACTCTTCCTCTCTAGCGCAGCCACCAAGCAAACTTGGAATAGTTTGTTTAGCGCACTTTCTGTGCAGAGCGGATGCTCGTTGACACCTGGCTTCTCCCAAAGCAGCCAAGTCTCATTAGCCAGAGCAACCTCCTGTTTGCAATCCTGGCTTGCCCCGGGGATTCAGGCTAGCAAGGGGGATAGAAACAGCGGCAAAGAGGCCATCCCAAGCCAGCATTCAGAGTTCTTACCATACGGAAATATGGGCGCTGCCTTTCAGAACCCCAGTGCTGAGGATGTGGAGAAGGGGGACAGGCCTCCAAGAGGCAGCTGGCTATCCAGCCTTAGAAACAAGGTATTCTGATGAATGAGGATGGTTCAGATCTGTTGCGGGGGAAGAGGAGAGAGCGTATTTGTTTGGAGTGCCAGGATTTACACAACCTGATTATTTAACCATGGTGTATTGAATAGTTGGCTAGGGTTGCACAAAACACTAATGCCATACATCAAAGTTTACAGATTAGACTGGCTGAGCTCAGGTATCACATTAGACCACATTATGGTTTGCATGGTTTCGACTTAAGGCATTGTTTGGACTTATCCCATGTAAGAGGTCACTGATTTAAGGCAGTGATGTCACCACGCATGCAGGTCTTGAAACCACCCTCCTTGGAAGCAGATTGGCTTTTCAAGAACATCAGGTTTGTTTCCATCTCCTATGTCAACCCTTTCCCTTATTATTCCCAAGGTTTGTTTTTTAATTAACCCTATAACAAAAGTAGGAACAGTCACTGGGTGCCAGATAAAATCGCTTCCAAAGTTGGCCAAGTCTAAATCTGCAGTTGGACCTTTCTTTTGTCACCCAATCCACGTGAAACTCTTCTCTGTTCTACGAAGTCCCCTCTGAGTTGAGCTGGACTCCTGGTGACTTCATGGGCACGCCTAGGAGGGTTTCTTGGCAATAAAGATTC